CATTATAAAGCTCCAAAGACTGACTCAATTATGTTAGCGCAACTAAATTCAAATATTAGTTTTGTCTTAACATGATTCAGGCCACTTTCATACAGATTTCATATGATGCAGTGCTGCTTTGGTTTAGCACATAATAGCATAATAGAGCTGGACTGGGCTTGTAAATTAGCTTAGATATACCAGTATCCATGCAGATAGCACAACAATGCCAAAGATCTGCTCATCTTAATCCATCAGAACCTTTGTCACAACAGACATTCTGACCTGTCAGACACAGATGTAACATTTACTACTTTACTAAATATTCAGTTTTTGCCCTTATTCTTTAAAAGACAATATTACTATTGAGCAGTTCACATGGCAAATGAAAATGAATATTCCACTAATAATCCTTTTATTCCTGTTGTAGTCAAAGTTGTCCACCGGTTGTTGAACGTATTTGCCCATATCCAAAAACTTGTTCCATCCAATCTTTCATAATGTTTAACACTAAGTGTGTTTCTCCTGCTGAGTAGTGGCCTTTTCTTTTGTGCCAGTGTGTCCAGCCTTACAAACTGTTGGCTAATTTGTTAGTTTACAATGAACAGAGCTGACCGTAAACCCCCGGCTGCCTCACAGCAGCAAAACAATACATCTGTTAGCTTGTCACTCAAGTCAGGCAGTGAAAGCACCACAGACAAGCAGAAAAACTACATTATTATTATATATATATTATGGGTTTATTCTTCCTATTACTCTTTTTTTTTTAAAAGGGGGGACAGCTGGACTAAATAAACCCCACACTCAGCTAGATGGATCACCTGCTTTGGCTCAGCAGGTAAAGTCCACTAACCCTAATCACCTCTCCAGAGTGTCCTTGAGCAAGACTCATAATCCCAAATTGCTCCTGACGGTCACATCAGCATCACGCAAGGTGCGATCAGTGTGTCAGTGTGTGGGAGAATACATTATAGAGATTGTAAAGTTGTAAAGCACTCTGGACAAAGAGCTATATGAACAATTTACCATTTTATATTCATTGATAATAATGCACTTCATGATGTGATATATTTTGTGGAAGAATTAATAGAGAGACTGTTAATGGATAAAGAAGTCAAAAAAAAATTCTTTTTCTGGCTAAACTAATAAATCAAAGTAATTCATCAGAAGTAAAGATCATATACAAATTCAAAACAGCCAGATCTCATTGATTTGCACCATTTTAGAACATAGGATTATTTTATCAGTGACTCCAAACCTAGTTCTTCATCGTTTGTTGAGTATAACAGTTTGAGAGAGCATTGAGAACACCCTAAACTATTTACTGATGCAGTGTTTTGACCAGCAACTACTGACAGTATACAGAATGGAAGTGTCTTAAACCTGCATTCTATGTCCTGACCAGCAGGGGGCAGCTCCATTGGCAAGTCTGATAGTATTAAGTCTCATGGAGAACTTGATTAATTATCTCAGTAAACAGTTTCCTTAAGAGTTTCTGGTCTCAGTCTCTA